CTTAAGGCCACTGAACTGTGCCTTTAAAAATAGCTAGGACAGCCCTAGCCGATTTAGCACAGTGGTTAGAGCGGCAGACTGAAGGGCTGCTGGTCCGATTCTGGTCAAGGGCACATAACTGGGTTGCAGGCTCCATCCCTGGCTCCAGTTGGGGCCCATGTGGGAGGCAACCAATGGATGTGTTTCTCTCACGTTGATGTTTCTCTCTATGTCTCCTCCGCCCGCGCCCCCCCGCCCCATCCACTCTCTCTAAAAAAAATCCATGGAAAAAAATATCCTCAGGTAAGGATTAAATTTTTTAAAAAGGCTGACATGGTAAACTTGTGTGAATTACAGCCGGGGCTGGGAGGCTGGGCTGAGGGTGGGGGCTGCAGGGGTGAGGTGAGGCTGTGCCTGGGGTGGGGAAGGTTAGGCAAGGTGCGTGGCTGTGGGAGGTCAGAAGCCAGCCTGGGGCACTGAGGGAGGACCTGGCAGGTGACAGAGAAGCCCAGGCCTCCCACGGGTGTGGGGTTTGGTAACTGGGTGAAGGGTGCCTGCCCTCATTTTGCGGGACTGCAGGGAGGCAGTGAGTGGGCCCCCGGAGCCCCTGGGTCCGCGCTGAGCCAGCACAGTGCGAGCGGGCGCCTGTCTGCATGCACGTCCCACCCCGGGAACCAGGCCCAGTCCACGCACCGCCTGCTGCCCTCTGAGAAGGTCCGGTGTCACCAAGACAGCCTGGGGGTGACCCTGTTAACGCCCACTGAGCAGCCTGGTGTAACAGGTGCCCCGGGGACCTGGGAGCCATCCAGGCAGGTCTGCATGTGAAAGCTCTGAGATGGGAAGGCCTTCTGAGTGTGATGACTCAGAGCTGCGCCCCAACTCCCACGCACACCCCCACCCCGCCTCCGCCCACCCCTTCCCCATCAGGCGCACCTGTGTTCTCCCTTCACACAGCTGGGCGCTGACCTGGTTCTGGACGCAGCCAGTCCCAGGAGGACACATCCCGGGTGACTCCACTTCTCTGCAGGCGAGGAATTCATAGACAGAAAGTAAATGCTGGCCGCTGGGGGCTGGGCCGGCGGGAGGTGACTTAGTGTTTCATGGCGGCAGAGTTTCTGTTCTGCAAGATGAAACAAATTTGCAAATTTGCAATGGCGATGTGTGCACAACCTTGTGAACACACTTAAGGCCACTGAACTGTGCCTTTAAAAATAGCTAGGACAGCCCTAGCCGATTTAGCACAGTGGTTAGAGCGGCAGACTGAAGGGCTGCTGGTCCGATTCTGGTCAAGGGCACATAACTGGGTTGCAGGCTCCATCCCTGGCTCCAGTTGGGGCCCATGTGGGAGGCAACCAATGGATGTGTTTCTCTCACGTTGATGTTTCTCTCTATGTCTCTCCCTCTCCCATCCACTCTCTCTAAAAAAAAATCCATGGAAAAAAATATCATGGAAAAAAATATCATCAGGGATGGATTAAATTTTTTAAAAAGGCTGACATGGTAAACTTGTGTGAATTACAGCCGGGGCTGGGAGGCTGGGCTGAGGGTGGGGGCTGCAGGGGTGAGGTGAGGCTGTGCCTGGGGTGGGGAAGGTTAGGCAAGGTGCGTGGCTGTGGGAGGTCAGAAGCCAGCCTGGGGCACTGAGGGAGGACCTGGCAGGTGACAGAGAAGCCCAGGCCTCCCACGGGTGTGGGGTTTGGTAACTGGGTGAAGGGTGCCTGCCCTCATTTTGCGGGACTGCAGGGAGGCAGTGAGTGGGCCCCCGGAGCCCCTGGGTCCGCGCTGAGCCAGCACAGTGCGAGCGGGCGCCTGTCTGCATGCACGTCCCACCCCGGGAACCAGGCCCAGTCCACGCACCGCCTGCTGCCCTCTGAGAAGGTCCGGAGTCTCGTGGGTGGTTCTGGAAGTCACCGCTTTCGCTTTATTGTGGACTGAGTCGTCACCCCTTGGGGAAACACAGGGTTGGGGTCCTGCAAGCATCAGGATGCCACAGTTCGGTCAACCCGTCACTACAGAGACTTGCGTGTGTTTTCAGTTTAAAGACAGCTTCTTTGGTAGCTATTGATGATTCATTCGCATGGAACGTACAGCCCAGCAGTGTAAGTTGTGCTGAATGAAGCTCATCCAACACGTGTATGTCCCCGTAAGGCACGTTGCAGCCCGTGCACTTGGGAACTGCCCACGGACCTGCACACTGTACTTGGGGGCCACTCCAAACAGCAGAGTCAGCAATTAAAGCACAGACATGTGAGCTCAGGGCCCGCAGACACAGGAAGGAGCGTTAAACACGAGGCAGCTGATGCCGCAGCTGCGGACCTGGTGTTGGAAAAGACACCACGTGACCGGTATCTGAGGTGGGTGAGGGGAACGCTGACCCCACAGCCTGGGGCGATGACGCACAGCCCCGTGCCCAGGCGCTGCCCAGGGGACGTGCTCAGTCCTGGCAGCCACTCCAGGGCTCATTTTGCAGATGCGGACACACAGGCACAGAGCGGGAGGCCTGATTCTAAGCCGGTGTTCTGCGCGGGCGCTGGCTTGGTGGAGAGGGAGGGGCTTCTCCGGCTGGAAACCTGCGGGGGGGCGGGGGGGGGGGGGGCCCCCCAGCCCGGCCTGCTCAGCCACGCTGGGCCTACGCCCCACCTCCCTGCACCTGGAGGCGCTCTGTGCAGCCGGGACACACATCTCTACGGGCAGCTTAGCCACTTCCCTGGGGCAGCCGGACGCGTCTAGGCCCGAAGTTCCTCCACTGCTCCCAACACCTGTCACTCACCCTCTTCACTTAGAAGGGAAACTTTGAAATGGAAACTTGGCGTCACTGTCCTGAAATGAGAATCGCCACCACTTGCCAGGCACTGAGACATGGAAGTATGGTAGCAATCATCTCAGGTAGAAACTGTAGTTTAACTTTAACCCTGCTGTTTGGCTTCTGTACTTATTTGCTTTGTTTAACAATAGAAAAGTTACTTTGATTTTCTGAATTGTATAAATCATCCCATTTGATTAAATACCCTATTGATTGTAATGTAAAATCCCATTTGTTGTGGTCATACTGGTCTTACAAAGCACATTTTCCTTTACCCCAGGACAGCATTATCCCAAGACCCGAGGGTTCCAGATAATGTGTCCCTGTCAACTCAGTGGTCCCAAGACCCGAGGGCTCTAGATAATGATGTTCTGTCAACTCAGTGGTCCAAAGATCCAAAACAATAATTCATCTTTGTAGATAACTAATCGGCTCAATCTCGCTTCTGTAACTGCTTTGTGCAAACCAGGGTCCTCATTCCAAACCCTGGGATGTAATCAATACCTTTGTGATTTTTGCCTATATAAATCTGGTGTTGCGGCCATCTTATCACTTCGAGATTTGGAGTGCATGATGGCTCCCTAGTCCCGGATTGCAATAAATGTGACTCTTTAATTTGGCTTCTTGAGGCGTCCTTCTGTCATTCGCGGGGCACATTACAACAACATCACACACACAGACTGCAGGAAACCAGAGCAAAGCCATCACACGCGGGTCGTGTAGATGCCGGTGCCACCTAAGGCCTGTGAAAAGGGGAACGACCACGTGTCCGGAAGACATTAAAGACCTCAGTGGCCACTGCTGCTTCCTCCCTGATAAGGGATGAAGAGGAACTGCAGGGGGCGCTGTCTCTTTCCAGGACATGCCTGTCATTTGGAGAAGGGAAAGCTCCCCCACCCTCCTTCAGGCGCAGGTCGGCCCCTCCCAGGCCCCGCCCCACAGCCCGTCTGCCCCTCCCAGGCCCCGCCCCACAACCCATCCTGGGCC